GTACAGTATATGTATGTCCATTTGGTATTACCATATCATATGATTGCAAGATTAATGCAATCGATGGCGTAAGGCTTACCCTTTAGTTATTCGTTCTATAAATACAGTAAATTATGTTTAACTATTGATGTGATTGTTTTCTTGTATGAAATACATTATTGTAAAATTTATGTACCATAGAGTAAACACCAAAAATATGCCAATAAAATCAATTATATTTTACAATTATTTTGAAGCTTTATTTATTTTCTCTCACCGTTTCTCCCAAAGCGCCCATAAGTCAAAAACAGAGACTAATTTGTTTTATTATTAGACATAAAAATTATTGCCGTTTTGTTTTACGACAAAAACACTAGTTTTTATACCGAAATACAGATTTTAGTTGTGTTTTTTCCATACGCCATAACAAAAGAGACATATATTGTAATTTTGTTTTTTTGTGCAAAAATATATAACTTATAATCCATAAACTATCCACTCTTTATACAGTATATACTGTATAATATGATATCTTGATTTAATTTATTATTTGCAACAAAAACACAAAATAAATCTAAATAAATCTAAATTATATTTCGGTTCACGAAATATATGTATACGACATCAGAGAAAAAAGTTGCAAACCTTAAACTAATGATAAGAATGGTTTTCAATAAAAGATTTTATTTAGGAATTTATGAAATAATATAAAACTTTTTTTTTGTACAGAAATTCCTATTTTATTTACCAAAAAGTTTGGCGAACGTGGCCTCCATTGTGTCGGCCCACACCTGATAGCCCTTTAGGGTCAGGTGAACCTTATCGTTGACAAACAGGTTAGCGATCTCAACGCCCACCGCTGTCTCAAAACTGTTGGTCAAATCCAAATAAAATATTCTGTTGTCGTCCTTGTATTGGGAGATAATCGAGTTAATGGAGTGCACCTTCTGGTCGAGTTGACCATCACGGGGTAAAATGCTCAACAAAAGCACCTTGGCGTGTTGCTGGCGGCGCATCAACTGGTCCAGGATCTCTCTAATACCATGTGCGATATCCTTCTCGGTGTTGTCGCCCAAATTGTTAGTACCTTTTGGGGCAATAATAAAAGCCATTAATTTTATTTACATATATTACTAACAGCTCTGCTCTTAATAAATACCGATTTTGAGGACAACGAGCGTTGAGTTCAATCCCTCGAACTCTCCGTTTTCCATCCGCCAGATCAGGTGCTCCGTGCGGTCGCCACCGATGGCATAGTTGTACGAATGTCGGGGCGCGTAGTACTTCTTCCACACCTCGAGCCCAGTGTTAGACCAGCCCTCTGTGATCGAGTCGCCGAAGAATATCACCTTCAGGTCAGCCTTATGGGCCTCTGTCTGCTTCAGGAGCTGCTGGTGTCGCGGTATCCACCAGTCCTCAGTCCGCGGCTCTCCCTTCCACGGGATTCCCGCCCAACAACTGCCCACAAACAGACACAGAGACACGTATACTAACTGCATGTTTATTAAGTTTTCACTAGAAATTTTGCTAGTAATTGATTTTTAATTTTGAATTCAATTATATAGGTATTAAACATTGCGATAACATTTGCCATTATCTATGGAATGTATATTATGTACTGAAATTATGGTATCAAAAGTGTCCGTTTTGCAACTAGATCTTTTATTAAGATTTCACAATACTGTATATTAAGTTATACCCGTGTGAACAAATTATGTGTGTCTTTAATCAATATTTTATATAAATTTTTAAAAATTTTGTACTGTTTATTATAATATAATTAGTACTTATCTATATCTGTGTCTATTGTACTCAAGCACATCAAATATAGGTGTTTGCTGTTGTTATGCAAAGGTTTTTTCTCATTAATTATTATTAATTGATCAATATTTTAAGGTCAGAAATGTGAGCACATGTTTGTAGCAGATTATGAACTAAAAATTATTACTTTTAATTACTTACAATTAGATTGATAACACTGTTAATAGCATAGATTAATAACGATATTTCTCGTTTACATAAAGTATCAAAATATAATTAATTAAAATGTAATCTCTTCTAATTGAACTCGCTTTTTCTCGTTAATTTATAAGCGGATTACAATTTATTCAACTTTACCATATTAATACCGGACCATTATTTCATCATAAACTCATAAATAAATTATGTTTTAACTTAAAACACTTTTCAAGATTTATGAATTAATTTATAATGATCTAATATTTATAACTTAGGAAACTATGAATATAATATATTGAGAATTTTATTCGTTATTCTGTACTCAATATAATGTATTTTAAGTGTTTTAAACACAGAATATATATTACTTTGTAAATAAATAGTAAAACTAAAATAAAATTTACAATAACTAATAAATTGTATGACAATAAATGTCTGTCCCATAAGTTTTGGGCCATAACTCTCGCATCACTTTGTATTAGAAAACAATTAATCGGAAACAATAAAAATCATTATTAGTTCTCATTCTTAACAATTGGTTTGAAATCAATTCCTTTATTCAAAGTTTGTTTCAATACAACCATTAAAACCGCTTTCAATACTTCAATACAAATAAATCGCGAGATTTTTGCCTTTGATTGCAATATAACTGTAAAGCCATTCAAAAAACCAAAATCTGTTTGAATTGACACTTGTATTGATTGCATTGATCTTTGAATTGATCCAAAAGTACAGACAGACAGACAATGTGTAAGTCTTTGTGGAAATATATTTGTTGTTGTTTTATGGCTGAAGACGACGAAGACATCAAACGGAAGAGACGGACAAAGACTCAGAAAATGTTGAATCAAATCACAGCCAAAGACAAGAAATGGCCCGAAAATGTTGAGCCGAAAACTGTTAAAACCAATGAAATGACCACTTTTTTGAGAGTTCCCGAAGAGTACGAGTCATCCGAAGCGGCCGTTTGTTGAATCAAATCACAGCCAAAGACAAGAAATGGCCCGAAAATGTTGAGCCGAAAACTGTCAAAACCAATGAAATGACCACTTTTTTGAGAGTTCCCGAAGAGTACGAGTCATCCGAAGCGGCCGTTGAGTCGCAGGGCTTCCGATTGGGCGCTAAGATAGCCGACGGAGGTTTCTCTTCAGTTCACGAGGCATATCATGTCCACAACAGCTTCAAAGTGGCCGCAAAAGTGATCGCAATTCCCGACAAAATCACTAACAAGAAGAGGTACGACATGACTATGACTGACATCAAGAACGAGCTCTTTATCCTGCAGTCTATACGTCATCCGCATGTCATCGCTCTTATCAACCACTTTATGGTCACTGAGAAGAAGGACGACAAGAGTTGTGACAAACTGTATGTGTTTATGCAGTTCGGTGTCGGCGGCACTCTTTCCGAGTATATGAACGTTGAGGGCGGCTATAGAGGCCTTCCGGAGCCCAAGTGTCGCCAATTGACGGCACAGATCATGAGTGCTCTGCAGTTCATGAAAGACAACGGCATCGCTCACAGAGATCTCAAGCCCTCAAACATTCTGTTGGACGAGAATAAGGACCTTCTGATCGCCGACTTTGGGTTGAGTCGTGTCGTCGGGAATATTGCGAAACCCAATGAAGACGGTCTCGACTCGAAGACCTATTGCGGAACCGCTGCTTATATGGCGCCCGAACTCCACAAACTTAAGACTAAAGACAGGGAACCGGGCTTTCAGTATCAGGCGTTTGCGGTCGATGTTTGGGCGCTGGGAGTTGTGGTGTACCGACTCATGAGCGCCGGCTTTCCCTTCAAAGTGAGTTCTGATCCCAGAAAAACACTCAGACGTATTGAAAGGAAAAAAATCTCATTCTCCGACCCGAAGTGGACTAAAGATAGCATCGATTTTATAAAACAATGTCTTGAAATTGATCCCAAGACTCGGCCACCTCTGGAGAAACTTCGAGACCAGCCTTGGATTAAAGAGGAATACATTAAAGTGTTGAAGAAAATAGAAGTCTATAAATCGCAACCACTTTTGGACAACAAATAATTATTTTTGTTTTTTCTGTGTTTATATTTGTTTATGACTTTAAAATAGTTTTCATTTAAATAATCAATAAATTTTTGTTTCGATAATAATAATAATGATTTAAATCTTATTTTTGAATAAATAATCCTATTTTCTATTTTTAAAAATAACTATATAATAGTCTGTCTATCGGTTTATATGTCTGAATACCCGATACTAATTGTCCAGTCCTTAGGATTAGTTGCTTAAAGTTTAAACAACTTTTACGGTTCTCTGAAACTATAATTTAAAGTACAAAACATATTGTCAACAATTTTTTGTGTTGCGATGGTTTTGAAAGGCTTTTATAATGCGAACCATTTTTGAATTGACTAAAGGATTTGTTGAAAAAATATGAAATATAACTTTAATTGTGTTTACATTATATTCAACAACGAGAGTCTTTTCATCTATGAAATGTGGCAAATGCACCTGTTGCTTCCATTACATATTCCCTTCCTGTCACTTACTCTCTCTCTCTCTCTCTCTCTCTGACCTCAGGCAAAGTGATCCCGATCACAAAACTGCATGAATATCAGCCCAAGTTTGACATAACACCGTTCATCAAGTCGTACGGAGGCGCACACCTGCTCCAGAAGTACCACAAACCCGAAGTCAACAGCTTCAAAGTGGCCGCAAAAGTGATCGCAATTCCCGACAAAATCACTAACAAGAAGAAGTACGACATGACTATGACTGACATCAAGAACGAGCTCTTTATCCCCAGTTAAAAGGAAACAGTAATTTAAATATGAGTTACTTTATGTATGAATCAATAATTTTAAAAATATTTTTTGCTTATTATGTAAAAGTATTACTAAATTCAGTATTACTACTCAGAAATACATATAAAATACTTTGATATAAAATCCTAAAACAAATGCTATTATTAGAAAAATAAGAAAAAAAACTGAACAAATAATTGGTTTGAGATCTTTGAGTGATATTTCTGTAAACTTTATTACAATAAATATTTGGCAAAAGTATTTCACAATTAAGAGAGAAATCACTGGTAATCCTCTTTAGCCCCTTCGCCGCCGCCCACAGAGCCCTCGCCTTTGGGTTCGTATTTGGGCTCATATTTAGGTTCATATTTGGGTTCATATTTAGGTTTATAGCCCTTGACAACAGCGGTCTGCCCGAAGTCCTTGACGTCTACGGGCGCCTTCTCATTGATTTTGACGATCGCCGGCTTCTTCTTCACGATAATCTCCTTCTCCTTATGAATGACCGGCTGTTCCTTTACTATAACGGGTTGTTTGACGTAAACGTTTTGAATGATAGTCTTCTCAATGGGTGGCTGTTTGATAAAAACGGGCGGCGCGTGTTTGACGATCACTTCGGGTTTGTGGTACTTCTGGAGCAGGTGTGCGCCTCCGTACGACTTGATGAACGGTGTTATGTCAAACTTGGGCTGATATTCATGCAGTTTTGTGATCGGGATCACTTTGCCTGAGGTCAGAGATCACAGGTTTATTTATATTATTTGTATTTATATGTAATATACATACCGTGACCGCCATAACCTTCATAACCTCCGCCATACCCACCATAGCCACCATAGCTCGGATACTTTGCGTACGATTTGACTACAGGCTTAACGTATGGTATTATCGGAGGCTTAACCACCGCTGGTTTGTATACTTTCTGCAAATAGTAATACTTTATTATTAATAAATGATAAAATATGGTTTACAAAATAGATTTGACATGATCAATTATAAATAACTTTACTGGTTACCTTCTCATAGCCCTCGCCATAACCACCTTCACCACCCTTTTCACCGCCGCCATAGTCTCCCCCTTTATAGCCTCCCTCTTCGCCGCCGCCGTAGTCACCGCCGTATTGGGCGACAGCTATGCGACAAAACACTACTACCAGTGCTGTCGACAACACTAATTGATTCATGACTTCAAATCCAATATGAAATCAATCGTTGACTGAATGGCAAATGAAATAAAATCTTTTATTTATTGCTAACAAAATCAAGCATTAAATGCACAAAACATTTTTTACCCTTAATATCCGAATAAAGAATTTATTAATAATTTGTGGGCTTTTGTTGTAAACGTAAAAGTTTTGTCATTAAATTTTCAGAGAAATCATTTGCTCAAAGTCTCTGTGCGTTTGGAAATAACTAAATAGTTTTAAAGGATTTCCTTTTGGATATAAATTTGGATATAGTTTGCTGTTTTCAAAGTTTAATATAATATTAAGTTATGTTTCTAAAGGATAAAACTTTGAATGTATAGTACATGAAATTTATATTAGTTTAACATAAATTTAAATAGTTAATTCTATTCAAAAATGGCATTTTCCAATCAACTAACAGCTAAATTGTATCTCTTGAGATATTATATTATCTTATATGCAGTAAGTATAATATATAACAGTATTAAACTGTATATTCAGTGGGAATTTAAGTCATTTAAAATGCATGCTTTTAAAAATTTATAAAATCTTACATAATCTTATTGAAAATATTCATCTACACTATATTTTGTATATACCATTTATTTTACAATAACATACTATACCTATACTTAAATTAATAAATAATATTATTTTACAATCATATTAAGCATAATATATAATTTAATAGTAAAATTTTGAAAATGTAAGCATAAGTGAGAATATTCCGAGAATATTGACACTATTTTATATATAATAAAATTAATTTATTGTGTAATAAAATTGATGAGCATTTAATGGGAGAGAAAACATTGTTTTCATTATAAACAAGACGAATGATTCGTTTGAAACCGGAAATCAATTGTTTTTCAGTTCAATAGCTTTTGTCAGTAAAAACCGATGGCTTTGCTTAACATCCTTTTGACGCCTATTCTATGCTCTAGTCTTCAAAACAATTCATTTAAAATTACAAATACAATGCAAAATGCATTTTAGATATTAATTTAATTTTGGTAGTTTTTATGTAATTAATTAATTAATTTTAATGTTTTGTAATTAGTATTTTATGATGACTTACCACAAGATAAATTAAGAAGTATTTTCAATTATAGCTAAAATTCTAGATTATCAACTCTTTTTATAAGTTATAAAATTACCATTTTTAATATACAACAAAACCGCTGCAATTATATTAATATTGAATGGGAAATGAAATTACAATCACAAAAATAGTGCAAATTTCTTAGAAATAATAGCAAAACTATAAAAATTCATAAGAAAAACCAATAATTGCTCAATTTATAAATCAAGTAATTGTATGTTTTTAAAGAAATAATTTTATAATTTCCCCGTTTGTATATATTTTTTAATTTACAATTAAATTAATCACAATTTTACGATAAATATATTATATTATAATTAATCTGTTTTTAAAATTTAATATAATTTATACATTTGTGACGTCAATTACCAAAATTAATGTAAATTAAATAAAAATTATGTAAAAACTATTTAAAATATTACAATACTAATCACATAGAGTTTTAAGTATTCTCATATATTTTGCTTAAATATTAATAATAATTTAACGATTACTTTCATACAGAGGTATGAAATAAATTTATTTATATTTTTAACAATAATTCAAATCATATATGATTAAAATTATAATTTTAATTAAAAAATTAAATTATACAATAAACTATCAATATATTTTAGGTATCGATTTGACCAAACTTTTAACAATAACTTTATGTAACAAATTATATGTAAATACAGATAAATTATTAATAGTTAGTAAAGTATTGATATTTGAGTACTCGAGTACTGGTTTTACCCATAATTACACAATAATTTGCCAAATAATGAAATTGAAACTAGATTAAGATTTAAAAATAACTTCATTTTTATCCCAATTAATGAATGAATGAAAATAAAATAAACAAAAAATAAACAATCATTAAAAAGGTCTTATTTTCAATTGGAATTAAAGAGTTGTATTAAAACTAACTATTTATAAAGATATTATATGTATAATAATAATTAAATCTTATTTATAGGCAATAATAGTAGTCTAAAAGTTTTTGTGTGAATTATATTTTAAAAAATCAAATAAATTACTATTTTATCGAAGAAAATCTTTTCCCGAAAACCAGTGAAACGTTACAAAACCGGAGACAATATAAAGACAATGTTAGACACGAAACCACTGTTTGTTACTATATTTGTTTTGTATGGATAGTAAGTGAGAAGACCTGTCCAGTGCTGTACCAACCGTTCA